CCCCTCCTCATTTTAGTCAGATTTGCTAGGGGTTTGTTGGATCTTGTTTATTTTTTTAAACAACAGCTTTTTGTTTTGTTGATTCTTTTTTTATTATTATTATTCATATGTGCATACAATGCTTGGGTCATTTCTCCCCCCTCCCCTTACCCTACAACCTCCCTCTCCCCCCCACCCCCTCAATACCTGGCAGAAACTATTTTGCCCTTATCTCTAGTATTGTTAAAGAGAGAGTATAAGCAATAATAGGAACGAACAAGAGTCTCTGCTAGTTGAGATAAGGATAGCTATACAGGGAGTTGACTCACATTAATTTCCTATGCATGTGTGTTACCTTCTAGGTTAATTCTTCTTGATCTAACCTTTTCTCTAGTTCCTGGTCCCTTTTTCCTATTGGCCTCAGTTGCTTTTAAGGTATCTGTTTTAGTTTCTCTGCGATGAGGGCAACAAATGCTATCTCGTGTTTTAGGTGTCTTACCTCTCCTCATATCTCCCTTGTGTGCTCCCACTTCTACCTTGTGATGAAAGTTCAATCCCCTTGTTGTGTTTGCCGTTGATCCTAATGTCCACATATGAGGGAGAACATACGATTTTTGGTCTTTTGGGCCAGGCTAACCTCACTCAGAATGATGTTCTCCAATTCCATCCATTTACCAGCGAATGATAACATTTCGTTCTTCTTCATGGCTGCATAAAATTCCATTGTGTATAGATACCACATTTTCTTGATCCATTCGTCAGTAGTGAGGCATCTTGGCTGTTTCCATAACTTGGCTATTGTGAATAGTGCTGCAATAACCATGGATGTGCAGGTGCCTCTGGAGTAACCTGTGTCACAGTCTTTTGGATATATCCCCAAGAGTGGTATTGCTGGATCAAATGGTAGATCAATGTTTAGCTTTTTAAGTAGCCTCCAAATTTTTTTCCAGAGTGGTTGTACTAGTTTACATTCCCACCAACAGTGTAAGAGGGTTCCTTTTTCCCCGCATCCTTGCCAACATCTGTTGTTGTTGGTGTTGCTAATGATGGCTATTCTAATGGGTGAGGTAGAATCTTAGTGTGGTTTTAATTTGCATTTCCTTTATTGCTAGAGATGGTGAGCATTTTTTCATGTGTTTTTTGGCCATCTGAATTTCTTCTTTTGAGAAAGTTCTATTTAATTCACTTGCCCATTTCTTTATTGGTTCATTAGTTTTGGGAGAATTTAGTTTTTTAAGTTCCCTATATATTCTGGTTATCAGTCCTTTGTCTGATGTGTAGCTGGCAAATATTTTCTCCCACTCTGTGGGTGTTCTCTTCAGTTTAGAGACCTTTCTTTTGTCGAGCAGAAGCTTTTTACTTTTATGAGGTCCCATTTATCTATGCTATCTCTTAGTTGCTGTGCTGCTGGGGTTCCATTGAGAAAGTTCTTCCCCATACCTATTAATTACAGTGTATTTCCTACTCTTTCCTGTATCAACTTTAGAGTTTGTGGTCTGATATTAAGATCCTTGATCCATTTTGAGTTAATCTTGGTATAGGGTGATATACATGGATCTAGTTTCAGTACCATGCTGTTTTTATTGTTATTGCTTTGTAATATAGTTTGAAGTCGGGTATCGTGATACCTCCAGCATTGTTCTTTTGACTGAGTATTGCCTTGGCTATTCGTGGCCTCTTGTGTTTCCATATAAATTTAATGGTAGATTTTTCAGTCTCTTTAATGAATGTCATTAGAATTTTGATGGGAATTGCATTAAACATGTAGATTACTTTTGGGAGTATAGACATTTTTACTATGTTGATTCTACCAATCCATGAGCATGGGAGATCTCTCCACTTTGTCTTCCTCAATCTTTTTCTTAAGAAGTTTATAGTTTTCCTTGTAGAGGTCGTTCACATCCTTTGTTAGGTTTACACCTTGGTGTTTGATTTTTTTTTTTTAGGCTATTGTAACTGGAATTGTTTTCATATATTCTTTTTCAGTTTGTTCATTTATTAGTGTTTAGAAATGCTAATGATTTTTCTATGTTGATTTTATATCCTGCTACCTTGCTATAGCTATTGATGGTGTCTAGGAGCTTCTGAGTAGAGTTTTTTGGTCTTTAAGGTATAGCATCATGTCATCTGCAAATAGGGATATTTTGACAGTTTCTTTACCTATTTGTATTCCTTTTATTCCTTCTTCTTGTCCAATTGCTCTGGCTAGGAATTCCAGTTCTATGTTGAATAGGAATGGAGATAGTGGTTCCTGATTTTAGAGGGAATGGTTTCAGTTTTTCTCCATTAAGTATAATGCTGGCTGTAGGTTTGTCATATATAGCTTTTATAATGTTGAGGTACTTTCCTTCTATTCCTAGTTTTCTTAGAGCTTTTCTCATGAAATGGTGTTGGATGTTATAAAAGGCTTTTTCTGCATCTATTGAGATGATCAAGTGGTTTTTTCTTTGGTTCTGTTAATGTGGTTTATTACGTTTGTTGATTTTCATATGTTGAACCACCCCTGCATTCCTGGGATGAAGCCTACTTGGTCATGGTGAATGATCTTTTTGATGAGTTGTTGAATTCGATTTGCCATTATTTTGTTGAAGATTTTTGCATCAGTGTTCATTAAGGAGATTGGCCTCTAGTTCTCCTTTTTGGAGGTGTCTTTGCCTGTTTTCCTGGCAAAGACACCTATAATTGCCTGTAATACTGGCCAGGGTGTAATACCGCCAGGGTGTTTATTTACAGTTCACTTGGGAAGTGGGCCTTCTCCCCTCTCCTGTGGAGTTTTCCTCCCACCGCCACTTTTACAAGCTTTCCCCGCTCCTGATTGCTAGGTGTGTGCTGCTGCTCCTGCCTTCTCTGGCCCCGTTTGTTTACAGCTCTCATGGGAAGTGGGTCTTCCCCCCTCTCCTGTGGAGTTTTCTTCCCTCTGCCACTATTACAAGCTTTCCCGTTCCTGGTTGCTGGGCATGTGCTGCTGCTCCTGCCTTCTCCAGCCGACTTGTTTTTTTACAGTTCCAGGAGGGATTCCTCTCCCTGCCTCTTTGGCGCTCAGGGCGCCCCACCCTCTTTGCTACATGTCTTTTTATTGTTGTTGTTGTTGTTATTGCTTATTATTCAGTTTTTCTTTTTTCCGTGGGTGGGGATCGGTTGTCCAGGGGGATATGCTGATCTGGCCCAGGGTTGTCTTTGGGTGTACCGTGTACCACTTAGCTCACCTTGTGGTCCGCGTCTTCCCAAGCCATCTGGGAGCTGGCATCTGGCCGCGGCACGGGAACCCTGCTGTTTTCTCCCTTTAATGTGAAGTGGAGATGCTCTGTGCAGGCTGGAGGTGTGGAGAAGTCAAAGTTTTGCCTCTTCTCGGTGGTTTTTCCTGTGAGGTGAATCTCCAGCGTCTCTCCATGATTTTACTTTAGGAGGCATGCTTTCTGCTTCCTCCCTCTAGTCGCCATCTTGGAATTCCTCTTGATTCTTTGTATGATTTTTGTTTGTTTGTTTCTATTTCATTGATTTCAGCCCGTATTTTTATTATTTCTCTCCTTCTTATAGTTTTGGGTTTAGCTTGTTTTTGTTTTTTCTAGGAGTTTGAGATACAGCACTAGGTAGTTTATTTGAGATCTTTCTGTGTTTTTAAGATATGCATTCATGGATATAAACTTTTTTCCTTAGGACTGCTTTGCTTGTTCCATAGGTTCTGATAGATTGCACTTTCTGTCTGTTGATACATGCTGATCTTTCCCTTACCATCTTTCATTTACACTTCACACTTCTGGGTATCTTGTGTATTTTAAACTTAGTTTTTCCCATTTGGGCTTTGTGTCCAAATTTTTGGTGTTTTGACTCTAACGTTTATTGTGAAATTTCTCAGGCTCTTTGGGGCTTCAAGTGCTTTCCATTGTGCTGAGAATGATGGATTGTATAAAATTTTCTGTCATGATGATCTTAGTACTTTTTTGTTTTAGTTGTGGTAGTGGTGGGATGGACTTGCACCTGATTTCGAAAAAGTACAGTAAATTTATTTAAGGACAAATAGTGACTTAGGGATTTAGCTTTTGTCCAAGTGCATATTGCTGTTGTCTCAATACTATTAATTGACTAGTTCTCTCCTGCTTTGAAATCCTTCCTTAATCTGTTTTTTTTTTTTCTTGGTATGTACCATTGATTTGTTTGTTTTTGTTTCCATAAGCTTATATTCTATTGGGGTAGACTGACAATAAGCAAGTAAGAAAATATTAAGTAAAAATAAATCCTATAATTTAGATAAGCAGAGTTATGTGGTAGCCAGTAACTGGAAAGCTACTAAAATGAGCTTTTCTGAGGTGATGATGTAAGCTGACATGAAAACCAAGAAGATAGTAGTGATGTAAACATCTGGTGAAAGATTATTTCCAGTAGAAGGATGTCCCCAAGGTTGAAGTGCTTTCTGTGTGTTCCCAGAGTAAACAGAAGACTTAGAAGCACAGCAAATGGGGCAGTGGGGTAAGAAACCATGTCAGAGAAGTGGGCTGAGGAAAAAGTATACATCATGTAGGGATTTATAGGCCAAGTTGAGGAATTTGAATTTTATTTTAACCATAAAGGGAAACTACTCAAAACTCATTTGTTTAAAAATTCAACTAGTCACTGGGTGCAGTGGTATATACCTGTAATCCTCAGCACTGAGGAGGATTGATAGTTCAAGGCCAGAGTTTGAATATATTGAGACACTGTCTCAAAAAGAAACAAAAAAGAGAACAAAATTATGTAATCTTAGGATAGATTTCTCTTATTTTTCTTAATGAAAAAGAGATGTAGATACAGAGGTACAGATACTTCATAAGTCAAATAAATATGTTCCTGTGTAATTAGGAACTATTTTTGTGCACAGATTTGCTTCATTTTAAATAATTGTAGAAAAGAAAAAAATGTTAAAATCATAAAAGTACCAAGAGCTTAGAGCTCAAAGAATACAGAATTTACTTAACTAAATAGAATTCTTTGAAAAATGATGTCATGTTATGTTTTTAATTAATACTTTTTCTTCTTTGTGTTAGGGAACATACATCCTTGGAAGAGGGAGAAATTCCTTGGTTACAGTACAATGAAGTCAATGAAAGTAGCAGTGATGAGGGAAATGAGCCTGCCAATGAATTTGCACAGCCAGAAGCTTTCATGTTGGATGGTAACAATAACCTTGAGGATGACTCCAGTGTGAGTGAAGATTTAGACGTGGACTGGAGGTAGGTCACACAGTGTTAGTAGCTTGTAATTGCTCATTGAGTAGAATTCATTCCTGAATCAAAGTGACATGAACTGAGTCTCATTAGGTAAGTATTGTGATTTTCCCCTCTGTTGGTCTTCTTCAAAACTCATTTCAAATGTCATCTTATATCTGGACTCTTTCCTAATTTTTCCATTCCGGGACCTACCACTTCCTTCGTTGACTCTTAGGTCTCTTGAAGTTCACCTGGTATCTTAGTTATTTAGTTTGGGGGGTGGTTTTTACTTTTTAAGTTTTGCATTATATGTCCTATAGCACTTAGCATACTCCTTTAAAATAGGTTCTTAATGAATTCTACTTGAAGTATGTTAAAACCTGTGACTGAATTGCAAGAATCCTAAAAATTTAGTTTCCCTTCTTTATCCTCCTTTTCCTTGTCTGTGTGTAAAATATGAAAGATAAATGTATCTTCCCTGAGATGTTAAAAACAATTAAATTTGCTTTATGCTGGCAAGAAATAGCTTTGAATAAAAGCAACACTTAAGTGAACTGAACTACTAGAACTGTTAATTTCCTATGATACAGTGCTCAGAATGTAACCACTTGTTTATGAGGCTAGACTTACTCAGTGTGCAGGAACTGATTGCAATTAGCTAGTTTTGGAGATGTAGAAAGCTCATTTGTTTTGACTGGTCCCTTATTTTTATGGGAGGAAAAATAGTCTGGTAATTTAGCCTGTTTCCTTCTCTGCACAAATATATTGATAAGAATTTGTCTTTTTTCTACATAAGATTCTGTTACAGTTAATTTAGTAAAATAAAATAAGAAAGCCTCACTCATAATACCTCTGTACATTTCTAGAACTTATGTTTTTAAGGCCTCCTTTGTGTCTTGAGTTGCTCTTTCTGTGTGTTACAGACTAGAAACTCAACATCTCTTTGAGAGCCTTCTTACCTTTTCCTATTTTTACTCTTTAGAAGAGACAGAAACATGTGTTCAGAGCAGACTTTTATTGACCATTTTGTAGAAAAAGAAGTGAGGGGTTTTTATGTTGGCTGTTTCTTGAGTTATTATTGGTTTATTCTTTTTCTTTTTTTTTTGGCTGTACGGAGGTTTGAACTCAGGGCCTACTTGAGCCATGTCCCCATCCTGTTTGCTCTAGTTATTTTTCAGATAGTATCTCATGCTTTGCTTGGGGCCATGTGATTCTCCTACCTGTGCCACCTTTGTAGCTTGGATTACAGATGTGTACCACAATGCCTACCTTGTTCTTTGTGGTAGAGTCTTGCTAATAACTTTTTGCTCAGGCTGACCTCAAACTCTGGTCCTCCTATCTCTGCCTCCCCAGTATCTGAGATGATAGGCCTGAGCCACTGAGATTTGAATTCTATCTTAAACATTCCCATTCTCTAAAATCCATGGTTTGACCTCCCAAACATTGTGAATCAGTGGTTTGCCATAATCTTAGCCTTTCCTACCTCATTCTTTTCTCTGTCTCGTTATGTCTCCCTACCACCTTCCTACTGCACTCCTTAATTCTGAACTCTTGTCTTCCTTCTGCAGAGCATTCCTCAAAGTGGTCAGTGACAGGTGAATTATCCATTTAGTGTCATCTGTACATGCTTAGAGGCAGGCATTATTATTTCATATGAAGTTTTTTTCTGTTGCATGTTTTTAAGACTTCAGAAAAATAACTTTTTACAGCTCCATTGTGTAGATGGCTCATCCTACACGTGTACTAAGATTTAATGGATTATTTGCCCATTGAAATTGTTGAATAAAGTGTTCCCCATTGAGCTTCAGGACAGATAGAGGACATTATGAGATTTGTGATGCTTTTCAAGATTTGATTCATATTTCCAAATAACTTTAAGAAAAGGTTGTTCAACATAAAAAATTTGATGAAGTAATGTCTTTATTAAGTATTATTTTAATTTAATTTGGCAACTTTTACTTCAGGTTCTAATTCACTTATGTCCTTTCTGGATATGGCTGTTGTGTAAGGTTTTAGAGACATTACTGATGTTCCCAAATTTTCTGGAATAATTTCAGAGTAATTTTTTTAAAATATGGAAAGCATTGTAGCATTGATTTTAAGGCAAAATTTTTGAAGGTTTGTCTTTTGATACTAAATATGCCCAGTCCTCATTATTTGCATATGTGGTACTTTATGAATCTATATGTCAGCAGCTAAAGGGTAATAAGGTAAGAATAGGGTTTCATTTTCATATTAAAATGAAATGTCATTTAACAACTAAAAGTTTGAAAAGCCATGGTAAAAAGTAGCAATTCTTGTCTCACAAGCCAAACCTTGGCACTACTTAGGGAAAAAGCCTTTTGCTTCCTTATTTTATTGTAAAGAATAAATGGGAAATATCTTTACTTTCTTGTTTTGATTGAAATCGCAGAAGTGTTGTACAATACTGGAGTATCTCATAGCTTGGTGTTGTAGAAGATGACAGAGTGAAAACATGTTTATAGATTTAGAAAAATCTCACCTCCACCATTTATTTATTCTTTGATAACTCCTTCTCTGTCTTCCTGAAAGAAACAAAGGTTATAATTATTAACCTAATATGGTTGTGAGAAGTTAATCCTGTGTGGATATAACTATGGCTTAGTAATAGAATTTTTAAATAATTTCAGAATTACAGAAAAGTGGTGAAAATGATACAGAAAATTCTCATATATCTTTCACTAAGATGTTAATACTTTATTTCATAGCTAGGATTATCAGCATACATCATCATGCCCAGCTTAAATGTTAATATTTTAAGGCAACAGTTGTATTATCATTCTCTTCTTTTCTCTATTTATGGTAAGGTTTTTTTCTGACTCTCTTAAGAGTAAGCTACAGACATGATTTATTTACCTATAAATTTTAGAATGAATTTCCTAAAAATAAGGACATTACCTTACATAACAGTAAAATTATTGAAGTCTGAAAATTAGCACTGATGCAGTACTAATTATCTAATCTACAAACCTAATTAGTGGAACAAAGTTGTTCCACTAATGCCATCAGAGAATTTTTTTTCTGAGCTAATCCAGGACCATTCATTGTATTTAGTTAGCGTGTTTCATTCATCTCTTTTAATCTGAACATTCCCTTAGTCACTCTTTGTCTTTCAAGCCCTGACATTTTTAAAAAGTATAGGCCATTTGTTTTGCAGAATGCCTATTACATTGTATTTGTCTGATGTCATAAATAGGACTTGAGTTAGGAGTTTTTAGAAGAAACACCATACAAGTAATGTTTTGTCCTTCTTAGTGCTTAGCAGAAGGCTCATGGTGACAGATTACTTCATTAGTAGTGGTTTTAATTCTGATCATTTTGTTATGGTGTCATTTTCAAGATTTCTGCACTGTGCAGTTGCTGTTTTCCCCTTTTTTAACCAATAATTGTCTGATAGAAAGATATTGTACATAGCATGTTTTTTCTCAAACTATCACATTTCTGTCCACTGGCTTCAGCATCCATTAGTGATTCTTGTCTGAATCATGAATTATTGTGATGATTGCCAAATTAATGCTATTAGAATTTTTATGTTAACTGATTATTCTGCAGTGGCCAAATTACATAGCTATCAGGCTTTGAGTATATAGATTTGTGTTTATCCTTCAGGAGAAAAGAATTGTTGGGAGGCAGTTTAGTTCAGTCACTTGAAGGGGTTTTTGCAGAAAGTGGATATAGTTTGTTTTGCTTCATCAGGCAGAAATGCAGCAAAAGGGTGAAAGTTATAAATAGAAATATTACTTCCCATGAGTTTTATTCTTCTAGCAGAGCAGTCCCACACTGACAATACCAATTGGAAAACAGTGTATGTTCTGTAAGGAGGGAATGTTTCTGTTGCTTTTTGAATGTCTGAAGTAGTGCTGTCTTTGTGCCTGGCACCTTTGTGTACCTGCTTATTTAATTACAAATGAAGAAACAATCATAATTAATTTTTTCAAGTTAATGATGACTCAGTTAAATCCCCCATCAACTGATCCCAGGGCACTTCTTTGCAATAAATCTCAACATTAAATGAAGGAGTTCCAGTATTGCCAGGGTGGGGTAGATTCAGTAATTCTTAGTATGTATTCTAATTCTAAAATCTGTCAGTGTATCAGAATGTTCCTTTGTACCATGTAATGTTTATTGATTTCCAAATACTACTAAGCTATAATATATTTTCATAAGAACAATGTCTATGTCTCTTTCTGCAGTTTATTTGTAATTTTAATGATGGTTGATATTAGCACTATTTTGAGCAAAGTCCTGTAACTTTAGACATTCCTGACTATGGTACTTAAGCTCTGATAGGATATGGAAGTCAACAAAAGTTGGTCTTTAGGCAAAGTGAACTGTTTTAGAGATCTTAGTTTTGTGAAGTGGTGGGAGTACATATATACAAGGTGCCCTGTAGACAACTAGAAATGTAGGTCAACAACTCCAAGAAGGGTTTGGAATTAGGTGGAGATTTAGGAATTACCTGCAGAGAGGATAACTGAAGAAATGAGACTGAATGAATTTCCAAGGGAGCAAGATTAGAGGGAAAGGACCAGAGACATACTTAAGATATCCAAAATTTTAAATACTTAGTATTTCTAAGCCTAGAGAAAAAAAGAGGAACCTGTGTATGTCTGGGGTAGAGGAAAGGGATTGACATCGAAGTGAAATGTATTTTTTTTTCAAGAGCTTACAGTCCTTCAGAAAAATAATAAAAATGAGTAGCTAGGAGAGAAATAATTTTCTAGCTGTAAAGTAGTGGAAGAGACCTGATTCTGAGCAGAAGAGAGATTAATGAGAAAGGCTTGAGAAAATAAAATATTTTAAATCTAAAGTAATTAGGCAGCACAAAGTAAGAGAAAAAAAATAGGCCTTGAGTAATGATAGAATTAAAATGTAGTAATTTTCTCTCTCATATTGTCATGTATACTTGGATTGGAAACTAAAATAAACAGAAGGGGATATATGGGAAAGAATGAGGAGAGAAAGTACTACCTTTAAGCAGTCTTTGGAGTTAGCAGCACACCTACAAACTGCAGTGAGTGTGACATAATCTTGGCCGAAATAGTAGTATCTTAAATCCTTACTTAGCACATACCTTTTCTATTGGTTTTTTCCCTGCTCTCCAGCCCGCACAGTTACACTAAAATATTTTAAGGTTTTCTGTTTGGAAATGTTTGCTAACTTACCAGCATGCTAATATAATTGTCTTCAGCCTAATGTTCTGTTTTGTTGTTTTCAGCCTGTTTGATGGCTTTGCAGATGGACTGGGCGTTGCTGAAGCCATTTCTTATGTGGATCCTCAGTTCCTCACCTACATGGCATTAGAAGAACGCTTAGCCCAGGCTATGGAGGTAGTTTAGTAGCTCTGATGCCTTTATAAGTTGATGGGATACAGAATGATAAAGTTTAAAGATGAATAGTTTTGTCATCTGTTCAACAACAATAATGATTCTCACTGTTTGTGTATGTAAGTTACATTTGATGTCCTGCCAATTTGTCTCAAACTGCAGTATTTCTCAGTTTTTACTGCCGAATGAAAAATATTTTGGTTACATTTAGAAAATACACTTTTTCCTGAATTAAATTATGAGAGTCTGAATATTTTATATATGTACACACAAGCACAGATGTATTTGTGAAATGAAATTGAAGATCTCTAAGGATATATACAGATCCTTTCCTTTTGTTCTTTTAGCTTTCAGGTACTATATTGCTGCCAAATGCAGTTAGGAAACTTGCTTCCCCTCATCTCCACACACATGTACACACTTTCATAAATGTGGCACATTCGTTGCCTAAGTTTCTCTTGCCTTCTTTTCATTATTTGACAAAAGCAGGAAAAGCTTCTTACTCTTAAATGTATTTGTCCAAGAGCAAAAGCCCAAATATTTTCACATTTGGGAACTTCCACTGTACTTGTGGATTTCATTAAAAGAAGTGTTTAAGTCAACATTTCTGAAGTGATTTCCAAAGTAATTAATAACAATAATTAATAACTGGTGAATGAGCCAGAGCAAGAGAAGAAAAACTAACGAGAGAACTTTCAGGAGGATTATGACAACATTTTATCTTAAAACCTTCCAACATTAGAAAGTGAGGTTTGTAAATAAGGTAGTAGCTACACATGAATACATACATGCCACATGTTCACTAATCTTCCATGGGGATCATTGCTCTCAATTATGCATTATTCTGCATGTTTTTCTCAAAATTACTGTAGATGAAGTATTGTTTACTGGGAGAAAAAGTTAGTATCACGAGTCAGGATACACCTTGAACTTTTGCCAGATTATTTAACCTGTGTTGCCAAATGATGGAATATGATAACTTACATCAGAAGCATAATGTATAAAGGTAAAGGATTGCTTAATTCTTGAGCTACATAACTTTTGAGTGACCACAGTGGGTACATCTGTTCTAGGACCTGGTTTCACACTATTTAAAACTTCTTTCATTTTTATTAAGTAGATTATGATTGATTTCGTACAGTATGGAGATATCTTTAAAAAGAAATGTTGAGACTAAAATAGAGTTTACTATTTCTTACTAACTGGAAATGTGACATTTGTAATCTTTAAAGAAGAGCCAGAGAGATTGGTCATGAGAGGTCATGCTATGTAAAGGCACTACCAGAATGAACAGACAAGAAGCAAAAAAGAACATTTTGTCTAGGAACTTCCACTTCATGCATTGTTGACTTTTGCTAATGAGGAACCCAGAGACACTGTCACTTTCATAGTTATTTTTACTTCTGCCTCTGATTCATGGATTTAAGCTTCTCCATTTTCCACAGCTTAGCAGCTTCCTCACATTTTACTGCTCTTCTTTATTGAATTTGAGTTTAACTGAGATGTTTCATACCTAGAATATCAGTACAGTTCCATTTTCCTAGCACTATACAGAAATCTGGATTTTTTTTCATGCTAGTGTGAATTTATTTAACATTTTGGAAATGAAACTGAAATAACATAATTTTTCCTCTTAGATTTAAACTAAATTCTTTAAATGAAACAAAAATAAAAGTAACTATGCTTTTTATCTATTTGTAGCGTAAACAGCCTGTCCATTTTCTAAGTTGGTGCTTTTATTTCTGTTATTAAGTATTGGTTTTTGATGCAGATCTTTTTATTGTACATTAGTCTCAAATTTGAGTGATGGGATGGTAAAAAAGCAAAATTTAATTTTTTAAAACAACAATAGTAAAGCATCCTGCATACTCCCAAGTCTGAAAAAATACATTAATGGCGACAGCTAAAATTTTTAGTATAAATAACTAGTATTGCTTCCCTTATACTTCTTTGCAAGAAAAGTATGTTAAAAATTTTATGTACAAAATAGTTTAAATTGAGTTGCTATCAGTAGTGTCTAATTAATTAATGATAAATTAGAAATTTTGGTTAACAATTATTTAAACATAAAATTTTACTGAAAACAGCATCCCTTAATGTAATCTCAATTACTTACGAGTTTATTCCTAGAATGAGATACATTTCAATATAAATTTTATTTCTGTTTTTATCTTTGTGGATGTAAAAATTGGGAAATCTTGTTTACATAGATAAATTAATAAGGAAGAAACTTATCATAGCATTATCACTCAGTTCTGAAATATTTGCCAACAATCACATCAACTTAACCTGCTTCCATTTTTTGAAAGCAAAGAACTGGAAGCTACCTTCCTATCCTTGTAAGATTTATTATTCAGTTGCTAGAATTCAGATTGACCCCAGTAGTTCACATTGCTAAGAACTGTACTTTTATTCATAAAATGGAGAAAGGTTAGTGTAAATGGAAATATGAGAACAGAGAATATGACACTTTGACTGCAGGTACATCGTTAGGCAGATTAGTTTGAGGAAGGATTACTTAAAGTTAATTGAAATTGGTTCCCTTAAGACTCACACACTCATGGACCCCTTGAAGAATCTTCACACACTCACAAGAATACATCATATACATTGAGATGTAGACACTGGGAAGATAACATGTGGAGGTTAAAAGCATGAGCTTTTGAGTTAGACAGACTGCATGACCTTGGACAATTCATTTAACCTGTAAGCTTCAGGAACCTCATCGACAAAATAGGAATAATAAGGTCTGCCTCATGAATTATTCTGAGATTGTGTTAAAGCATTTAGTAAAATATTTCATGTAATTGTAAGCTCTCAGGAAATGGGTCTATTCGTAGATACATTCAAGTAAGCAGCCAAACCAGCAAATCTTGATTCAGGGTGGTCATTCAAATTGGTATTAAATCATTAAATCAATAAATTTTCATTCTTTAAAACTAAATTCTACTTTATTCTTTAGAAGCTCAGTTTTATGCCAGCAAAGGATTATGCTACTTTAAGCCTAGATATATTCCATTTGGGTTATTTAGGCTAGTTTTAGTTTGTCTTACTTGTACTAACTTCTGAAAATATACTGTACTTCCTGAAGGTATAGATAGATTTTGTATTTATTAAAGATTTCCATAGCAGTAGCTGTAAAATGGCCTCTTTTGCTCTCATTGCTTATAAGTGATCCCAGATCATCGTAACTATGTGTGTTAATACCAAGGCAATAAATTACTTTTACATATATGAAATTCCAGATATTTATTTGTACTGCATATACTCATCACAAAAGGCAATAAGCCCACTGAAATAAGCATATATCAAAGCACAGTGGAACCTCCCCAAAGAAGTTACTATGTAAATAGTAATCCCTTCTTACTGTTTACTTGTAGCACAGATGAGTTCTCTTAAGCAGGGTCTATGTTGAGAAGTAGGTAGGGAATTGGGGTAGATTAATAATAATAGTTACGTAAAAAAGAAAGAAACAGCAAGATCTTACACTTTACTAACTGCAAAGTTTAAAATAAAGAATTATTAACTGTAAGAGATTAATGTAATAAGGGAATGGCTAGTAACAAATAAAGATAATTATAAAGAATATAGGAAAAGCATGTGTAGGGAGCAGCTACCACCTTCTCTGGCTAAGATAGAACACTCAAGGAAGAGTCCCCACTCTCCCCTAGGGCTGAAATCCAGACCTTTATGGAAGTGGCCCAGCTGTGACTCAGTGGATGATAGAGAAATCTCTCTGGTGCCATGCTGGCAGAACTTGTGGAAAGCTGTGCTCTGGAACTTGCTGAAAGTCAGCCCCCTAGGGTGCCAGGGAAAGTTATCCATAAGAAGGTACTATGAATAACTAAGCACTATGCTGCAGAGCCATCTGAGGTGGGTGCTGGGGGAAGCTGCTGGCCATTGAAGAAGCTGTACCCTGCAGGGGTCTAATGCTATAGAGCCACAGATGCCACAGAAGCAAAGCCCCAGTGTCTCTTTAGTGTCCTTTGCAAACAAAGCTTGACATCATGTCAGCCATTAGAAGGGCAAATATTAAAATGGTCCAGATCCATTTTTACAAAGCTGACAGAAATAGTGAAGTTGGATTTGATAGTCTATCCCTTTGACTGCTTGGTCTCCATATATTCTTTTTCTTTTTAAAATTAGTTTGTTTAATTGCTATTCTTTAGTTTCTCTTTTTTAAGTTGCTATTAAATTCTTTAGTTTCTTTTTTTTAAGTGGGTTTCATTATGACATTTTCATTCATGAATACAGTATACTTAGATCATAGTCATCCTCCTCATCATCCTCTTTTCACCCTTCCTCCTCCCACTAGTTCTCCCCACTCTGAATAATCCCATTTTTACATTCATGTCTCTTTGAGATGAATCATGCAATATTTGTCTTTCGGAGTGTTGCTTATTTTGCTTAACATGTTTCTTGTTCCACTCATTTTCCTGTGACTGAGTAGTACTTCATAGGAATCTATACTATTTTTTTTAATCCATTCATCTGCTGATGGGCATGTAGGCTGATTCCAGAACTTGGCTATGTGACTAATGCTGCAGTAAATGTGGATGTGCAGGTATCTCTATTGTAGGCTAACTTAAATTCCTTTGAGATAATATAGTAGCTTTATTTTTAGTTTTTTGAGGAACCTCTGTACCGATTTCCTAGTGGCTGCACTAATTTACATTTCTACAACATAAAAAAGGATTTTTACTCTTTCCTTCAAATGAGTAGCTGCACAGTTCTAGTTCCTGTAACTACTATAACTAATTACTCTACAAATCTAGCCATACTGAAAATTCTCTTATGTTAATACAAAATTCTGGGGCATAGCACAAAGCCCTGGTTTCAATATCAGAACCACAAAAAACATTGTGCAGTTAATTTCCAGCAACTGGTATATGAAATAGAAATGAAGAAAGGAAAAGAAAATGGTTAACATACATACACACATAAAACAAGCAAATACATAAACATGAAAAGCTACTAGACTTTGATTCTGTTTGGTCTTGAGGTCATACTCAGTGTCTGTATGTCTATGGCTTCATTCTTCCACATCCCATTCCGTATTTTCCCTTCTCTCTGTCTTAACTTTAGTTGGTTAGAATTATTTATTTGGTAGAATGGCCCAAACCTGCATTTCTCAAGGGCTTGTGGTAACTCTACTATTGGCCTGGAAGAAGTAAGAGAGGTGTCTTCCAAATGACATCATCACAGCCTTTTCAAACAGAAGAAGCATAGTCTGTGGAGAGCAGAGAACAGCTAGGGCGGAAAAGAGGGTTGAGGTGACTAGAGATTCAGGATTGTTGACTTCATCAAGTCCAACCACATCTCATTCCAAGCTCCAGAATCCCATTCTTTAAACAGTGATTTAACTTTTGAGGAATTTGGTGAAACAGATTTTTACTCTTGTCTTAAGTTAGCAATACACACAGTTAAAGCTTATGTTTCATTTTCAGAGCTAAGTGCTTCTTTTAGGGCTACTGTGGAAACTCTGGTTCCTGTACTTTCCTGAGCTGAGAGTTAATAGGTTTGTGTATGTGATTTTTCCAAGTGCACAGAAACACTCAAAATAATCCATCCCCATGTTGCAGTTCTTCTGTTCACATCATTATTATCATAAGATTAAATGCAGCAATTGCCAGGGCTTGCCCCAAATTCACGAGCTTTAGTTAACACTTCTTCAGTACCTGCAGTGATGGTTTGATTAATCATAATGCCACAACAGGCCACGGGTTCATAGCGTCCCACTCCCATTGGCAACAGCACCGCGCTTAAGCTCAAAGGCCCAAGCAAACTGGTCCAAAAATCCTCTCCTTGCAAGTCAAATACCAATCCTGTATCAGTCTAGACCTGGTCACAAGAGAGAACAGCAATGATTTAAACATTAAAAGTATAATATAAATTTATTATTACATATACAGGAGTTTGGAGTAACAAGGGATTAGTTCATTATTAAGGATTAGTAGAAAGTAAAGTGAACGTTAAAAAATACAGGAAGAGCAGAATTAAGAAATAGTGTACAGGCTAAGATGGATCACTTTGCTTCCCCACTCCCATGGCTGAGATCCAGACCTTGTTCGGAGGCCATAGCCATGGCTTATATGGTACTATGCTGACGGGACCTGCTCAGGATTTGCCCTCTGGGGTACCAGAGAAACTGTTCATAGGAGAGTGACTAGCTAGTAGCACTGTACTGTAAAACCACCCAAGGCAAGTGCTAGAAGCTGCTCACCACCTTGTACTGCAGTTGGGAGGCCCTAGAAAAACCTAGAGGAACATCCAGTAGTATCACTACATTTTGTCATCTATGAAGGGAATCTTTCAAAAGTTTATGTTCTTCATATTATTCGTCTCACATAGAAGTTCCTAATTTGGAGGAGGTAACTACTCCTCTGAAAATAAAATTTACCAGGCATAAAAGGCGGTTATTGAGACAAAGTAGATTTTTATCTATGAGAAGTAGACCTGTGTGTGTGTATGTTTATGCATACATGCGTATACACACATACACTGGTGTGTGCTTGATGCTTTGGTTTAATGGTGGTGGGGGCTAAAGAGGCAAGAGGAATAACAGGAAGAGAATTTGGTGAATATAATTTTGTAAGATACCTTAAAAATAGTCTACTGTTTTAAAGGTTTTGAGGTTTTTTTTTTTTCTGACAAAGCACTGTAACTTCTTTTTCAGACTGCACTGGCACATTTAGAGTCTCTTGCAGTGGACGTTGAGGTGGCCAATCCACCAGCCAGTAAGGAAAGCATCGATGGTCTTCCAGAAACCCTTGTTCTTGAAGACCACACTGGTAAGGGCAACAGTGATCTCAAATACCCAAAGACACTGCATATTTAAGGACATGTCAGAGCTTTTAGGAGACAGAATACTCAACTATCAGGAACTTTCATTAGAGTTTTTCTAAAAGCCAGACAAACTTTCACCTATTAGGAGAATGTTTTTTAACTTACAAAGTGATAGGGTGAGACAAATGTTCCCTGCTCAACTTTTCTACAAAAAGCAATGTTTATTAAATGCCAAATCATCTTGTGTTAGTAATGTGTTTTCCAAATTTGTTGATCAGAGTCTGGTTCTTTTGTCAGTATCATCTGTGCGTTAAAATGTTGATTTTTAATTGTACTAAAATAAATTTCATATGATTGATAGATATAAATTATTTGTTATTTTTAGCTATTGGTCAGGAGCAGTGCTGTCCAATCTGTTGCAGTGAGTATATTAAGGATGATATCGCAACAGAGTTGCCTTGTCACCATTTCTTTCACAAACCTTGTGTCTCAATTTGGCTACAAAAGGTGAGTGTTGGTTTACTTTTTACAATTAATACTTCATAAGTTTCTCCTGTAAGTCAATAATAATAATAGTGCTCTCAAGACTATTTATTTGAATACGTATTTGTAGTACTTAAAGTCTAAAGGCTGGTTACCTTTAGTAGCAACACAGACAACAAAAACTGTATAATGTATTTTTAATTGCAGCCTTGAAATTTGGTGTTTTCAAAAGTATCTCAAGTAAAGAAGCCCTTTGACCCTGCTCAAAGTGTACTGTAACAGTAAACAAGTATTTTGCAGATGTGCATTAGTGTTACTGAAAATGTGTAGAAGAAATTAATAACCTATCAAATACCTTCTATTCCAGTTTTTATATACTGTCCTTAAAGACTTCCCCAATATTTGTATTTGAATTACTTAAGAAATAAAGAGTTGCCAGGCACCAGTATCTCATGCCTACAATCCTAGATACTTGTGAGGCTGAGATCCAAAGGATCATGGTTTGAGGCCAGCCCAGGCAAATAGTTCAAGAGACCGTATCTCCAAAATAACCAGAGCAAAATGGACTGGAGGTATGGCTTAAGCCTGCTGTGCAAGCTCAAAGCCTTGAGATTAAACCCTAATCTCACAAAAAGGAAAGAAAAAGAAATAGAGTTGTACTGAAGTCTTCTCTGTGATCTCTGTTTTTTACTTAAGGAATATTTACCTGACAGGTCAGTGTGACTTCCCAAATCACTTTCCAGCTTGTTTACTTATAGTTACAGGCCCCATGTCTTCCCTACAATCACTTCTTTCCTTCTCCTTCCCATTTTTCCTCCCCTTCCTCCTTCTCTTCTCTTCTCTTCCTTTCTTTGCTGTTTTCCCTATTTACTGCCACTTATGAAAATTCTAACCAAAATTTCTGAAATCCAATGTAGGAATGTTCTTTTCTCAATTCCCCTTTCTTCCTAACTATGACTGTTGCCTCCCCATCCACTGGGGTATACACGCACACTTTCCTCTTATTACGTTGCTTAAATCCTTATATTAACATTTGTGGGATTGGGTTTTTTAATTGTTATTTTAATAGGACTGTGCAGTTTTTTCCTGATACCTATTATTTTTCATACTTACTCTTAAACTTTATTCATTTGAACTTTAATTATTTTGTCAGTTTGCTTTTCTCTCCCAAAAGAATTCATTGTAGGATTCCAATTGCAAGTGCATTAAATTTATACAGTTTTTTAAAGAATTCGTCTAGAATAGTTTTGGAGTTAGGTTGGTGGAATACAAAATGTTTGTGGGATATAATGCTTATTATATTTTAACATTTGTGGAATGCTACTCTGGTGATACGTGTGTGAGTGCGTGATGACACACATTGTGGATTACATAATGTGAGGACTAAATGAGGTAACCCATGGTACTTGGGAGGGAGGTAGTGTCCTGTGAATATTTTTTTAAATCAGATCAAACACTGTTGCCAGGCACTGGTGGCTCTCATTGTAATCCTAGTGACTGAGGAGGCAGAGATCAGGAGGACTGTAGTTCGAAACCAGCCCTGGGCCAATAGTTTGCAAGACCCTATCTCAAATATACCCAACACAAAAAAGGGCTGGTGGAGTGACTTGAGGTAAGAGTGGCTACCTACTTTAAACCACAGTGCCACCAAAAAAACCCACAAAAACTGTTACTGAAAATTAATAAATTTTATTATTTTATTAACAACAAAATCACAAATACAAACTTAATTTATGATACAACTTACAAAGACCAAACAGCAGATTTCAGTAAGGAACATATTACTAACATGATTGCTATTTTATGAGTATTTCCTGTGTGGAGGTTATATGTGTTTCCACACTCAGTACACTTCTTCATATTTCAATTGAGATGCAATTTTGAATTCTGAATTATTTTTTTAAATATTGCTTTCTTTGATGTCTCCCCTCCCCTCAGAAAATAATTTGAAAAATGGTATTGTGGACAATTTTTCTTAACCTGTTCGTTTGGAATTATGTTGATACAGCCTAGAAAGTTTCACCACTCAATAAATCCAGCTCATAAAGGTTGAAATAGATAATCTGTAATGAATTAATACAGTGCCTAGTACATGGCTAAATAACTGGTATAGGAAAAAATAAAATTAATTTGTAATAATTAAAGTCATAATTAAGTAGGAAGAAACTTCTAGTGTCTGTATGTGGTGGTGGTGGTAGTAGGAATCTATGCTATTAAAATTAGTAAGAAAACAGAAAATGCAGACCCACTGAGTCTTAACTATTTTCTGTATGTCTGTGTCTAAGGCCAAATCCCTCATTTCATTTGTACTCTTATCCATAGACCTTCAATCCTTGTTGCCTTAACAATGTAATTACTTGCTTCACTTCCTCACTTCATTAGAGGTATTATCTAAAAGTAGCTCTGATCATGTTACTCCCATTTCTTAAAGATACTGAGATTGAGATTGATTTCCAGTTGTCAGTGCAATAGAGTAAAGTTTCTATCTTGGATTTTAACTCAAGGCCTTCTGTGATCAGGCCCCCAAGCTGTCACTTCAGGTTTACTCTTCTGCACATTTGCTTGTGTTTCTGTGCATTTGTTCATGAAGCCTGGCATGATCTTCCCTTTATAACATCTGTAAGATTAGATAATCCAAATAGATACAGTTGAAATTCACCTTTTTTTCCTTAATACAAGCTTTCTTTGAACTCCCATGATAGCTTTAAAGACTTAAGAAGGATCCAGTGTTTTGTATTCCTGCTGTGTTTGAGGTCCTGCTAGATGATTCACTTATCTTCTCCCACTTAATCCTCACAAAAATTGGTATCCTATTCCCTTTTTGCAGTTATCGTTACTTACCCAAGGTTACATAGCTAGTATGCCATTGGCCAAGACAGTGATGTTGCTGTTAGGGTCCAATCTGTATGAACAGTGCACAGTAAATGTTTACTAAATTATTAAATTACAAACATTGTGTACATTATATAGCCTTGAATTGTACATGACTTTGCTATAACATGAGGTGACAATCTGTTCAGGCTCTGTCCTGTGATGAGACAACTTAGTGGAAGAAGGTCCCTTTCACAGCATGAAATCTTCAGCCTCCTATCTATCAGGGAGATCTCTGAAAGAAGACCAGATTTGCCTGGAGATAATCTATCATCAGATGACATATCTCTGTTATCACCCAGGTGTACTCTCAGAATAACTGTTTCCCCTTCCTACCTTCCATTCCAGGTCTGTGGTTGATTTGTTTTGTCATTTAGAAGTCACCTAACTCCATCTCTTTTTGGAAAGGAATTATATGACTTGTAAAGAAAGGTCTTAGGTCCATGTACTTTACATATCTGTGCTATACTAAAGTGAAGCTTTAGTATGCATATGAGGTAGGTCCTGGGGGGAATAAGTATGTGTGTGGTTTCTGTAATATGTGAATATTAGATAAAATAATAATTTGATTCAAGTCATTGTGCTAAACTGACCTCCATGAGGACATACACTGAGTCTTTATTCATCCTCTCATCATGGCATCAATGTGGAGGCTTTTAATTAAAACCCACTGGATGAAAAGTGAATTGTCTTAAAGGTACAAACATGATTATGAGACATTGTTTACCCACAAAGAAATTATGGTTTGATTGGGGTATACAGAAAATGAAAGTAATATTTTGTCTTTATGTGTGGGTTTAGAGTTTATTTTGTTTTTGTTTTTAAAATTCTTAACTTATTACTAGGTTAATGATACTGTCTTTTCTTTAACATACTGTTGTGACAGTTAAGATGTTTCTGGTGGCTGTTAACTTGTGTTTTTCCCTCCAGTCGGGAACATGCCCCGTGTGCCGCCGTCACTTCCCACCTGCGGTTATCGAAGCGTCTGCAGCAACTTCCTCTGAGACTGATCCTGATGCCCCACCTTCAAGTGACAATACTGCAGAAGCTCCCTAAACCTTAAAGTTGAAATGAGATCAATCTATCAAAGTAAATCTGCAAATTCCTTCTAAATCTGATGTGCAAATAATTATATATAAATATATTTAAAATGCTATATATAGTATATGCCATAGTTTAGAAAGAAAATATTAACCTTTCTAAACAGAACTTAGGTTTGCAGAACATACTAAACATTTTCAAGCTGAATGTTAAAGCAGTGCATCCATTTTCTTTAGTTGAATATGTTGGTATTAATTGTAACGTCAAGCTTATTAGTTAATGCTCTCCAAAAGAAATAGTTATCCGTGTGACACATGTTACTGGTTTTGTGTAAAGTACTGCCATTAAGAGATTATAATTAAGCTCTCCTATTGCATCAAATGTGAAGACTGTGGTCACGATAGTAGTAAAATTTGGTTTCATTGGAAATAAATAGAATTCTAAAGCATGTTTTCTCACTTCCCTTTGCCTTACCTAAATTGAAACCTCTTAGTTCATAATACTGAGAAGTTTTTTAGGAAGATGTCTGCTTTTACATCTTGGTTTAAAATTAGGACTTTTCAGAATGCCAAGCAAAAGCTAAAATTTCACAAAATTTAAAAATTTTACGTGTAAAGCCTCTGAAATGATTAGGTGGTAAAGCAAATTATTCAATAGACAGTGGACATGCTTACAGTAAAATTAGTAGAGCATATGAGGAATCTGGCACACTCAGTGCTTGGTACAGTGGGATGAATTTGATGGCCATAGGATACCCTTTCTGTGCTCTGATACAGCTTGCTTTCACTTAGTTAAAGTTACTCCTGGAGATCCAGAGCACTCTTGGTGCTTTTGGTTAGTAAGTATTGATGGTTTTAGGTAGTTTTTGTTCTGAAATATTTTGAAAGTCTGGAAACTTGAACTGGGTCACCTTTGTAATCATGTAACCTTTCGGTGATCACATGCAGTGGGCAGGATTGCACAGACATGGGTGTGGTAGTTAACATGCAGTTGCGGATTGAAATCCTCACTAGAGAACAGTGCCTGTTAGAATACCACATTTGAGCAAGTCAGATAGTGAAGCACACAATGAGTGTACATCCATCCAGTGTCCACCGGCAATTTAGTTTGAAGAATATTTATATGGCTTCCCAAGTGAAGAATTACATTTAATTTGTATAATTTCTCTGAGTATTTATATTTTGTCTCTTTTCTCCATTCTTGAAAATAAATGAATTTTCACTGTTGGTACATTTGAGGCTTAAGTATAAGGAATATTAACACTTGCATTCTAATTTTTGCATATATTGTAAATGTGTCTGGTATTTACTGCAAAATTCTGCGTATCCTTTTAGGGATAAAGCAAAAGTGAACCTTGCATGCATGTAATGTGGTGAATTTGTAATTTCGGGTTCTTTGGGACTTCTGTGACTTTGGAAATGCTTACGTTCAGGCCTTAATGTTGCATTAGCTAGCATGTTTTCCCTCCCGATGTATATAGTCACTGTTGTATAAATTAACCTCTGCTTGTTTTCTACTCTGTGATCTTTCCATACCATATTTCACTGATAATCAGTTAGTGTCAAAGAGTCAAATCAGATTAAAATTAATTTTCATGTGTATATTGTGGGAATTTGTGGCTATTGTGATTTTTTTGTTTGTTTCTTTTCAAGTAGTGTTGATCAGTTGTAGCACTTACTGGTTAAATGTATATTGCTACAGATTTCTCTGTAATAAGCCACACGTTATATTTAGGCAGTATTATGGGATCTTGGTTTTCTTCTCCTAGATAGCAGCTGTCTCAAAGAAAAAAATTTCTTCTTCGTCTATTAAGATATAGCTGTTATCTGCCAGTTTTTAAGAGGTTTTTGGTTCCAAACTCAACCAGCAGTGTTGAGAACTAATTGTAAGGTAGGTATTGTACTTTTGCTTTCCATCTGTTACAGTTCTTTATTGTTGGCTCCCTACTATCTTTAAAACAGCTGCTATGAAGGAGACAAGTTGAATAGTCGGTTTAAATTTTTTAAAAAGAAAATTGAAGTTTTTGGACTATATGGTAACAAGCTAGTATAAGCTGAGCCTGACAAGTTCAGACCCCAAAATATTATTTGAACTTATCTTGGATCCTTTTGAAAAAAGTTAAGACTATATGAAGGTAAATTAGAAATAGGTATGAATATTAATAAATATTGTTTATCTTATTTCTCTATTTTATGCTGTAACTTGACCTAATTTTATTTTTTGAACATTTTCTTATTTCTTGTAATATGAATGCTTTATTTAAGTTAGATTCATGTGGTTTTCTTTTGTGTTTCATAATTGTTTATCACTAAGCTGACTAACTCTAAGATTATTTGTGATCTGGATTTATATATAAGCTGTTAAATATATATGAACTGTTAAAATGGAATGCAAGTTTTTCAAAAGCCCAGGTCTAAATGTAATGATTGGTTTATTGTTCTCCAACCCCAGCCCATTATTTTCTGTGTAAATCAAACAATAAACAGGATATACTCGGTGGTCAGTTTTAATATTTAATTGTGTAATCGTATTACTACGATAGTGTAGCCCCTGAAGGATTTAAAGTTGACAGCAAAGAACACAGCTATTAAGGAAGTCTAGGATGGGGTCCTGACACATGATTTTTTAGCCCTTGAACTGTTATCAAAGATGACTCCTACAGAGACCTTGTAGAAATAGTTGATGCTGTTGGAGAAGCTCTGAAGGAATTGTGTTGCCCTCTCCTACCTAACATTCTTAGCAATTTTTTAGGTTTCTTCAGAGCCTGGTGTTTCACATTGACTTGGGACTGCAGAAACTCTCCAAGTTACGGGAAGGGGGCTTGCCTCACCTCAGTGGCTTTCTCCAAATCAAGCATGGGATTGTTATCAAAGCAATTCATTGAAAAGATCCCTTGTGGTTTATAAGGGATTCGGAGACTTCACTCATAATAGAAGGGTCATTTGGGTGCCGGTAGATTTTGCTCACATTAAATTAGACAAAAACTAGTAATTTTGTTTAGAAATTTTGGAAAGTGTAGAATTCTGATCTTCCCTTAGAATAATAATGTGCTAGAAAAATTCTTCCTCTTATCCTTGTGTTAATTCTAATTGTGATAAAGCATGTTTTTGATATTTAATGGCTTTGTTGAAGTTATTGATAAATAATGAACTGGACAGGGTGGAATGCAAACCTTCCTCAGAACACCACTCTCAACTGACCTCTAGGTGACTGAGCTGTTAGTTCTTCAAGTAGAGCTGTTGGAGCATCTTCCATTCACTTCATGTGCTCCTATTTCTTCCTTCCCTAAAAAGGACACCATAAAAAATTGTTTCGTGGGTAGCAGTCAGTCAGATGCACTGTCTTTGGAAGTAGCCTAATCTGTTGGTGTGTTAAATCAAGAAAGGAAATTAATTCCACTGGAAAGCCTCAATCTTAGTGAAACCATGCTACCTCCTTTTTAAGCTGATCATGTGCCATGGGTTGGAATTTGATAAGTGATCCATGTCAAGCTCATTTTAATAATTTTGGGAACTGACCTTTTCCCTCTCAAAAATTATATTCAAGATAGAGTAATGAACCTAAATCATCAGTTCAGCAATACTGTTATGGATAAAATTTTGGAAAAACACTTTTTGTTGGTGGGTGAAGTCTTGAGGAAGTATTTTATACTTGGTTTTCATTATTGTTAGCACTGCCTTTTGGAATTACTGAACATTTCAGATACAGATTCCTAAAAGCATCTTAATCACCTTAGGAGTTGAGAGATTCTGACAGGGAAACTTTACTAAATAAAAATACATAACATTTTATTTTCTTATTTTTACTGAAAAGCTCTAGATCTAGCTAACACACTAACAATAAGAATGAATGTGGGAGTTGGTTACATCTTACATTCTTCTTTTATAATCAGAATGCAGTTTTTATAGTGAAGATTGATGGGGAAGAGGTTCTTAGAAGGACATTACCTGGCACCATTCATTGTCATTAATTGGCATTCTGCCAGCCGTCAATGTTTTTTCCTTTGTTATAACACCAGTCCTTTGTAAGATTTGTTTTTTTAAATGTGTTTTTACATTATAATTATTTCTGTTCATGAAGTTCTTACTGTTAGGCTTTGTGTTAGACTCTCTGTCTTGGCTAATCTTCATAATAAATCTGCAAGATTGATTGTAAGTGTCCCAACCATATGAAAAAAATATTTGAGTCTCAAAGAGGCAGAGTCAGCCCTGGTTCTTAAGTAAGACCCTGACGGTGCTTCTACTTCATACCACCTTCAGCATAAGAGTAGCCTTTCTGATCAGTATTACTATTTAAGTTAGTTGTTTGAAGTACAGTCTGATTTTTTTTATGGGAAAATTTGGCATCTGTTCAGAATTCTCGGAAATACTTTTCTCTTTGCCATATTACAGTTGACCCTTCATGTCCACGTATGGAAGGGCCCTCTGTTAGCAGATTCAATTGACTACTGATCAAAAATATTGTTTAAAAAATATATCTGTACTGTATATGAACAGACTTTTTGTCGTTCCCTAAATAATACAGTCTTAACAACTGTTTACATGGCATTTACATTGTATTGGGTATTATATGTAATCTACAGATGGCTTAAAGTACAGTCTATGGGAGAATGTGTGTAGACTGTGTGCAGAACTACTCTTATTTTATATGAGACTTGAGTATCTGCAGATTTGGGTAGCCACAGTGGTCCTGGAACCAATCTCCTGTGGATAAAGAAGGATGGTTGCATTTTGCTATAATGTTAGAGACATTTTTGAACTGCTACCTAAAATTCTAGTGTGCTTGTGGTTAGTGAAATGTCTTTGTCGCTGGTAAGATCTAATGACAATTTCCTACTTTCACCTGGGATTCATAAATTACAGAGACTGTCTTCTGGCCTGAAGGATGTGTAGCGTCTCTTGTCTGATCAGTCAGCAAGACCCAACTGATTACAAGGTAGCAAACCTACCCCCAAGTTGTTATATCAGTAGGAATAGACTCTTGATAAAGGCTTTCCTCTTGATTTCAGAATTCCATTTTAAATTCTGGAGGAGGGAGGGTTGGGTTTTTGTTGTTTTTTTGTTTTGGCAATAATGGATTTTGAACTCAGGACCTTGCACTTGATAGGCAAGCTCCCTGCCACTTGAGCCTCAGCTCTTTTTACTTTCATTTATTTTTTAGATAGGGTCTTGGATTTTTGCCTAGGACTGGCCTAGACTGTGATCCTCCTATCTGTGAACTACCCATATAACTGAAACTATAGATATGCCACCATGTCCTGCTTATTTGTTGAGATGGGGGTCTCACTAAATTTTTTTTTTTTTTTGGGTGCAGGCTGGCCTTGAATGTCTGCTTCCTATGTCATGTGTAGCTGGGATTACAAGTGTGAGCATTCCTTATGGCCATTAAGCTATGCCTTATTTCTATTTGTCTAGCCCCATTTTCTTGTTAAAAAGACCCAAGTGACATAGACTGGACAATTAGTTATGAGGATTCACTGTCTATCACCATACTGACTGACCTTTGGCCTAGCAAATTTCTGCTCTCAATCATTACCAAGAATTCCACATCCCTGTTACTGTAGCATTCTGGATTTGGTGCTATTTCAGAATCTCGGAGGTTTTATTTTAGTTTACAATCACACTTAAAGCAGGTGAAGATGGGGGTGGGGAGGTAACAAAGTCAACTTCGTCTGGAAAGCAAGGTGTAGCCTCCCCTATCTGCTGATTAAGCTGTTGGCAAGCAAACAATTGGTTGCATTTCAATCTAAGTGAGTAAGTGGCATCTGAAAGAACATGCTTAGAAACTTAAATGAAGTAATAAGCTTATGAAAATAATGCATTAGAACATGTCAAACTGGCATCCTCTGATCTGCTGGAAAACACCTTTACCAAACCCAACAAATACTTGCATAACCTGACCTATTTAATAAATATCTACCAAGTGTCTATTCTGATAAACCTGTGAACAAGTAGACAAAATGCCTGGGCTCCTAAAATGTCCTGTAGTGCCAGCACTATTACATGCCCCGTCTCCTAGCCCCCGTAGCTGGGTTCACCCTGTAGGATTTCATTTTGGCTCTGGGAGTGCCTAACACATAGGGCCTTAGAGGCTGCTGTGCAGATGCTCAAGCTAGAAACAACCAAAGCAGGAAGAAAGAAAGCACTGAGCCCCCAAGATGAAAGCTACCAGAGTACCCTCAAGCCAAGTAGCTATTGCTAAGTGGAGTTTCTTGGCCCTTGGCCCTCAGCAAACCGTGGCTCACAATGACATTTTCAAGAGTGTTTATTTTCTAGCAATGGGACCAGCAGAATGGAGAGAAGCTAAACTTAACTGTTTATCTCCTGGGCTTTATTTTTATTATTTTATTGCTTTCCCTTTTCCCTGTGTTCTGAGACACATAAGCCTCCTCCATGTTTTTATCCAGAAAATGGAACATTGCTTTCCTGCTAGTAAGAGATTCCTCTGGTGCAAAGTGTTGTGTAAGTTATGATAACCATGTTGGTAGACCATGGCTAACATAGTGAACCCTGCAAAGTATCTTTTTAAGGGCTTGACAAGGAGTAAGCACCAGTGTAAGACTGTCGGACTTGCTTCTTTGTGACTTTCACAGCGGCTGAGTAGGCTGAAATAGCTAAAAGCACACTGGGCCCCACAGGGACTCAGTATGATGCAGTAGTGTTAGGACAACTCTTCTGACTTCCTGACTCAGTCAGCAGTGCCGTCATAGACAAAGGTGCCAAATCTGAGCATGGCAAGGTTCACACAGAGAGGGCACAAATATGGCACAATTCTTCAGGCTCTACTTTCTCCACCTTTCATTACTATTCAGTGTATTTTTTCTTCCCCGCCCCTCCCAAGAAAAAAAATGAGGCATTTGTAGTCAAAGCTGTAGAAACATCAAACTAGAAGGTTGCACTTGATGGGTTCATCACAGTGCCTGCCACAACCATTCGACTTGAATGAGAACCTCTTTTCTCATTGTCAAGAACTGTGAAGGGTCGATTTACCACGTTTGCAAGCTAAAAAGCTTCTTAGATGCTGGCAGAATATGTGAGACTCCTGGATCAGAGACAAAGCATTTATTTTACATGGCCCAGTAGGCAACCTGAATTTTATAGTTGCATCAGTTCCCTCTGCCCACTTGTCCTTTGGGATGATTCAGAGGTTGGCATAGGTAGATACTGCACACACAGTGAGTTTGTCACAGCTTAGGAAATCAGAACTTAGGAAATCCAAGTCTCATAACAGAGCTGCTGGCAAATCTGTCCCAGAGCACGATATGATCTTCACTATAGAGAGCAGGAAGCAGATCTGTCCTCTGACCTGGGAAGGTAGGAGAGAAAAATACTTCCAGTCTTTTAAAGACTAGTATATACCCACCTTTGAAAAGACAATACATAACATCCAAGCCTGTTGCTCAGAAGACATGGAAAAACAAATGCTTGAAGAATTGTCCTTCAACACCCATAGCCTCTACTAACAGGATGGGACAATGCAAGTCACAATAACCTGCTCCTCCCC